ATTGTATGTTGAAGTTTCACAGAAAACCCCAAATTAGAATAATTATTGTTATCAAACATGACACAAGACACAATTCACAAATTATGTGATTAATTATGTATTAAGTAGGTATATTTTCTTAAGAAGTTTGAGAACTTTCAGCACATTTATCAAGAATTTTCAGAATATTCAGAACTTTCACGAGAAATTTGGGAATTTCGGGAAATTTGAGAAAAATCAGAATTTATTTAGAAAAATGTTTTGTTTTATTCAGCTTCTGATAAAAAGCATAAATTCTCGGGTCCTGCTCGTTTTTGCTCGTTTATTCTCGTTAATTCTCGATCGTGCTCGGAGAACGTTCTCCTAAAATACTTTCTCGAGCATTTTACATTACTACTTAATCTATACATAAAAGTACAAATTTCCACCAAAAATCCAATTTTCTATCCACTATAATACAATTTACCAGATTTCTGCCAACCCTGGTGGTAATTTAGTTGAGGATAAGTCCAAAGATAAGGTACTTTGCCCCTGGATACTTTTGAATTTGTGACAATAAGGACCAGTTTACTGGCATTCTCATAAACCGTCAGGTATGCAATCCTCAGGGTTGGCAAACAATTTTCTCCACTTTGATTTTTAACTGGATTTTTTGATGGATATTTCCATATAAATTAACACAAATAACCATTCATACTGAGATTCATATGAAAACCCACACTGAGACCTTCACCAAGACCCACACAAAAATCCTATCAATAGTATGTTTAAGAGGAAATAAAACATAACTATTTTTATTGACACAAAACTCTTCAAAAAGTAAAACAGAAATTCTCACCAAATGTTTAAAAAAGGACAAAGAAAAAACCGTTTTTTAAAGATACTGAGCCTGTTACAGAGATAAAATTAAAATTTTTGAAACTCATAAAATATAGATCAAAAACCCAAATTTCCACCAAAAATTCAATTCTCTATTTGTGTCATCATTTTGTCCCAAGTTTTGTACATTTTCTTCTGAAATGTTCACATCTTCTGCAAACTCATTATCTGTTTGAGGAGATGTTGGAGTAGAATGAATTTTTCTCATATTAATTTCTATTTCCTATTTGTGGATCATGATTTGGTATATTTATTTTGAGACTATCCAATAACAAATATAGTGGAATTCTATTGTTGATTTCTTCAACCTGATCAATATATCTCCTTCTCAGCTGATTGACATGTAATCTGAGAAGACATCAATGATCACCTGGTTCATGTAAATGATACATAACATTTTCACTTTTTTTCAATGATTATTCTCAGCATCCAAGGATAAGAATTTCTTCTTAATATTTTTGCATAAACATATATGTAAGCTTCTGGTTGAAATTCTTTCTGACAATGAAAGTGGTGATCATCGTGGGGAATATTTCTTCTTATGATTCTTGGTATTCATCTACAATGATGGATTTGTCTTGTGGCATCAGCAAATCCATTACCTACTATCCGCTTTTTTTCCCCAATATATAAAGAAGGAAACAATTTGTATGTATTTCATGCAAAATTTGAATTTATTGAAAAATCAGCATAGTAGAGCTTTCGCTATCATCCGAACTACCTGCAAGTGGGCATAAGAAGATAAAATTATAATAAAGTAATTGTAAATAATATAATATTATATACCTAATAAATTAGTGGATGTAAAATTTACTTTTTCTTTTTCACTCACTTGTCAGGCTCCAACACAGAAGTTACAATGATTTTGCTGGGGATTTTCCATCTGGAGAATTGATATTTGGTGTAGACCTATATGCTGCTAGATACTGGCTTGTATGTTCTTCCTCTGGCTGTTCTTCCCTTTTCGTTTTCATCAATGTGCTTTTTAATGTATCCACAAATCTTTCAGCTTGACCATTGGATTGTGGTGACTATGGAACTTATTTATTTGATTTATTTAGGTATTAATTTACAATACAAATTAACAGATATGCTACTCATTATATTATCTAAATGGTAAATGGTATTGTCTTATGTATGACAGCACCTAGGTGCAAAGCATCTGTTTGTGCTTCTAACTTACTCCATGTTATATAGGTACATAGGAATTTAAATATTTTCGAATGCTGAGAATTTAATTATGCACATTATTGTCACCAAATCAAAGCAGTTTTTCAAACAAAATCCGATTTTTCCAAACGAATGCCTTCGATCTTTTTGAAAACAGTTTTGGTTTTACAACATTTTTCACGTCAGTGGGCAATAAGTTGTAAACCTTTGGACCCATGAAACCAATTGAGCATCTATAAAATTCGCTATCACATTCTGGAATCCTCAAAACTGATACGAACTGTAACTGTACGAATATGTTGAATGCACTTCTTTAAACAATAATTCTGAAAAATTTCACTAGTAAATTGTATTTGGAATTCCAGATAATTTTTTCTAGCTTCAAAATCGTGAATTTTGAAGTTATATTTCTTGTAAAAATTTCTGGCCACTTGGACAAAGCATCTATTGATTACCAAATAATAATTTCCATTCACAGGACTTGCATAGTCTATATGAAGACTCTCTCAGACATTCTGTGCAATAGGCCAAGGTGATATCTCGTTTCTTGATGTCCTTGCAGCTTTTGCACATGAGGAGCAATTTTGAACAAATCTTGTGATGTCATCATTAATGTTGGGCCAATAACTACTTAAATGTTTGAGTAGGTACTGGATAAGAAAGAACTTTTGAAACTACTATTCGGCTTCCAAACATCAAACATCCTGATACTATAGATACATTGTCTCTTCATGAATAAAACTTCATTTCATCTGCATTTTGTTGATGTTTGATAGGCCATGAATACTGAACGTTGTGAAAAATATGTCTTATTACATTGTCTCTGCGTGGTTCCTGATAAATATTTTTGAACATGATTGGTAATGATCTCAGAGTTTCATCAAAAATATGACAAACTTCCGACTCAACTTGCACAAAAGCAATTACTGTATCTTCTTTCTCATCTTCTTGACAAAACATCTGCATGATCACTGTGGTTTTGATATATTCAATTCCAAAATTGTATGCTTTTAACACTAGAGCCTATCTCTGCAAAAATTTCTAATATCTAATGGCTTGTGATAAGTTTGTAAAATGAAAAATCTTCCATACCTATATCATCTTGTGAAATTTCCTTGGAAATTTCTTAACCGCAAAAACTAATGCTAAAGCCTCTTTTTCAATTTGGCTGTATCTTTTCTCTATGTCTGTCAGAGTTCTAGAAACGTGATAAATCGCTTTTTCTGTTCCATCTTCAAGCCTATGAAAAATACATAAAATACAAAGTGTTTTCTCTTAGAAAGTTGTTTGAAAAGTATACATTGAATCGCAGTTTTATATCTGAGTGCAATTTATTGAATACCTATCCTATATCTATTCCTCAAAAATAGTATATTGTTGTATTAGGAGTAGAAGCTTTACTTTTTTGTGGTGAAGCAGTAGGTTTGCGAGCCGAACGTAGTGAGGCTTGCAATACTGCTGAAGCACAAAAAAGTGCTTCTACTCCGTATGCAACACGCTATTTTTTCTCCAAACGAATGGGGTAAGCTCGGGGGTAACTGAATGGTTGAGCGGCAGTAAAAGTACGAGCGGCACTAAAAGTACTTTTGCTGCCGCTCCAGCGGCACTAAAAGTACTTCTACTGCCACTGCGGTTGCCTAGCAGCATAGAAATTAAATTTCTACCACCTCGACAGGTGTTAACCCGCTGGATTTGCCTAGCAGCATAGAAATTACTTTTCTGATATCTTGATAGGCATTAACAAAGTGACGTTTTTTTGACGTATGGAGAAAAATATCTTATGTTGTTTTCGTCTAAAATTAACCGTTTAGGTTTTACAGCCTGTCAAAGTTGCAAAAAGTCAATTTTCAACTGTCAATATTTCCAAAACAGTTAAAGTTAGGTATAGGGTATATCACATGAATTCTGCTCAGAATTTTACGTAGAATCCAAATATGCAATAACATACAGGGTGTTCCATTTAAAATTCTGGTTTTGAAGTCGGTGCAGCACTTTTGGGACACCCTGTATAAATAAAACTCAAATAATTGACAACATTGCTTAAAACCAAGAAACTTTTGTATTTATATTTTTTTTGTGCACCCTGTAGTTTCTAAGAAAAGACATAGGCCCCTAATAAAATGCCCACCCTGTACATACACCAGATGATGAGATGAACCAGCAAACAGACAAAACAAACCTAATTAAAATTGCTAATACAGATATCAATAAATTCATGCTTTACCAGCCTCTTTTTAATCTGTAAGTATATGAACTTGATTTTGTTTTAATTGTGTTGATGTTTGATGAAAAGCCAAGAATGACTTACACACAAAGTATATTTGTATGCCCCAAGTGAAATTTTTACACACCTATAGGAAAACTGTATTTTCTCTATGAATCATTAAAAAAAAAATATTTACAGTAGGTACTTTAACAAGCTAATAAATTATGCAGAAGCTAAAAAACATGTTCAATGTCGCAGAAGGTGAAAAATTTTCCTAAGGACTAGAGATAATTGCTGAGAAAAACCCAGTTTTGCTCAAAAGTTATTGATAAAAGCAACGGAGTCAATTAAACAGTGGACACAATCACCAAAATCCTTTTTCTGTCTAAAAAGTTCAAACTTTTCTATTTTTCAAAAGTACCATCATGTAATAACGTAATGTAATTAAGTAATAATTAGTTCTTGATGCAATGAATGAAATACATAAATTACTCTTCCTCCACCAATAATTATTATTCATTAACTTTCATTTCACAACAGTTAACAGTACCAGAAAAAAAAACAGTTAATCGTCGCTGAAAATTTTAATTTTGCAAAATGGAAAAAATGCTGTTGACCTTGCTATGGAATAACTGTTAGAGTTTCGTGCCTAGACAAGAAAAGCAACTGATATAATTGCTAAATTCTAAAAACGGCTTGCTGTATATTTGTATAACGATTATTAGTTTTTGGGTTAAGACTTTCATTTTTATTTTATTAATAGCAGAACCCTGTGAACCAGCCTGCCCCGTCCAACCCAACCAAAACGCTCCAGCACCTTCAGCACCTGGTGGCTCTTCGTCACCTACACAAGGAACCCCACAACCGCCTCAAGTAGGAGGAGGTTCCGGTGGTCCACCCTTGGGAGGACCTTTGGCTGCTCACCAATCACCTTATGACCTGAGACGCAAGTCACCACAGCATCATGGCGGTGCAGATGGTAACGTCGGTGTGCCAGGACCTAGCACAAGTGCAGCTACTGCCGGTGGGGCACCAGCAAGCCCGCCTTGTTCCAGTGGCGGCGCCTCCGGAAGTGGATATAGCTCAGCTATGTTGCCCGCCCGGAAAAGACCTAGAAGAACTTGTTCAGCTTCATATGAAACTTGTACAAACACAGCTGCTCACTACCTCCAATACGAGTTGCCAGACGAAGTGCTGCTCACCATATTTAACTACCTCTTGGAACAGGATTTATGCCGTGTCAGTCAAGTGTGTAAACGGTTCAATGTAATCGCCACTGACACTGAACTATGGAAACGAATTTATCAGAATGTTTACGAGTATGACTTGCCTTTGTTCAATCCTGCACCGTGCAGATTTGAATTTGTTAGCCCTGAAGAATCCGAACTGGCCAATCCATGGAAAGAATCCTTTAGGCAGCTGTATAGGGGTATCCATGTGAGACCTGGTTATCAGGATCTTAGTTTTAGAGGAAGAAATTTGGTCTTTTTTAATACTGTGCAGGGTGCATTAGATTATGCGGATGAAAGAAGTGGTAGCAACAGCACTACGGGTTCAGTGACAGGATCTTGCAGTAACCATTCAACAGAGGCCACTGTTAGTACGCAACAAGGCGCACTTATATTTCTTCATGCTGGCACTTATCGAGGAGAATTTTTGGTGATTGATTCAGATATTGCTTTAATAGGTAAGAATTTTGTTTTTTTGTGTTTGGTTATTTCAACAAATATTTCTCAGGTGCTGCTCCTGGTAATGTGGCCGAGTCTGTTATACTGGAAAGAGAATCAGAGTCCACAGTTATGTTTGTGGAGGGTGCCAAGAACGCCTATGCAGGTCATTTGACGTTAAAGTTTTCACCCGACGTGACGTCAACAGTACCCCATCACAAACACTACTGTTTAGAAGTCGGCGAAAATTGCAGTCCCACAATTGATCATTGTATCATCAGAAGTACATCAGTCGGTAAGTGTAAGTCATCACAATGATGTTAAAACTTTGTTTAAATTAATAAAATATTAAATTTGCATCTTGGTAGCAAATGTGCATAAATTTGTGCTTGAATATGCTTGTTTTAGGCATTTATCTCTTCTTTGTTGTTTTTATCTTTTACTTATTCCATGTATTAAATTAAATGTAAATAAAAATGTTTAATCTCATTCATGAACACCCTTAAAAGTACACAGCTTTCCTGTCACTACTTTTCATAATCTTTTTATGTTATATTTTTTTATATTATATATTTATTTAGTCTCTGACATATATTTAAACTGAAAAATGTTACAGTTGGTGCTGCAGTTTGCGTTAGCGGCGTTGGCGCAAATCCAGCAATCCGCCACTGTGATATCAGCGATTGTGAAAATGTCGGCCTCTATGTCACAGACTATGCCCAAGGCACCTACGAGGACAATGAAATTAGTCGAAACGCATTGGCCGGCATCTGGGTGAAAAACTACGCCAATCCGATAATGCGTCGAAATCACATTCATCACGGCAGGGACGTGGGAATTTTCACTTTCGATAACGGACTGGGATACTTTGAAGGCAACGATATTCACAATAATCGTATCGCAGGCTTCGAGGTTAAGGCTGGAGCCAATCCGACAGTGGTGCACTGCGAGATACATCACGGACAGACCGGCGGTATTTATGTGCACGAAAATGGTCTGGGGCAATTCATAGATAATAAGATTCACTCGAACAATTTTGCTGGAGTTTGGATTACTTCTAACAGCAATCCTACTATAAGGAGAAATGAGATTTATAATGGACATCAGGTAAGAACAATTAACTCACTCAATTTTTCTTAATTTTGAAATTTACACTTTTACTTCCTGGCATATTTTTTCCTCAGTATTGAAAGTGTTGTCCGAGCTACTTTATATAAACAAGTAGGCAGTGGCGGCGCTTGGATGCACTAGGCCCCTAAGCAAATATCACAATTAGGCCCCCCTAACTAAAAGAGCCAATTAGAAGCTGCGGAAGAAGAAATTTTGATTAATATCTACTTGAGAGCTGCTAATGATCATTCGAAATTTTGATTGTTATCGGCTCTTGAGTTTTGACTGCCCTTAGAAAAATTCTCATGCGAATCCAGAGTTGATTAAAGTTCAAATTTTGACTATTACTGGCTCTTGATTGACTCTAGGAAGGTTTTCCAAAGAATCAAGAGCCAGTAATAGTTCAGATTTTGATTATATTGTATATGGCTCTTTTATTCATTTTTTTATTTTTTTTTAAAATTGTACTTGAAGTCATTTCGGGCCCCTAAGCATAGCTTATATCCGCTTATGCATATCACCGCTATTGCAAGTAGGGAATGTATTATGAAATTGTGTGAATTGAACTTACTTCAAATGAAAAAAGTTTCCTAGAGTGAAAATATACAGAACGTGAAAAGTGCCTTTTTTCTTGGGATGACCCAGATATCAAAATCCCGCTACAACTAAATTATGTATTTTGTTACTGAACCAATATAATAATCTCTGATTTAAATTTCTTATCTTCTAGGGTGGAGTGTACATTTTTGGTGAAGGCAGAGGCCTAATAGAACACAACAACATTTACGGCAATGCTTTGGCTGGTATACAAATTCGGACCAACAGTGACCCCATTGTGAGGCATAATAAAATCCATCATGGCCAGCATGGTGGTATTTATGTCCATGAAAAAGGCCAGGGACTGATTGAAGAAAACGAGGTAAGCTCTTTGTAAAACCTGTTGTATTTTTTTCACTCACCAACAAAAATTTAGGTCTATGCCAACACATTAGCAGGAGTTTGGATAACAACGGGCAGCACACCAGTACTAAGGCGGAATCGAATCCATTCGGGCAAACAAGTCGGAGTCTACTTTTATGACAACGGTCATGGCAAACTGGAGGACAACGACATATTCAATCATTTGTATTCAGGCGTACAAATCAGGACAGGCAGCAATCCTGTGATTAGAGGAAACAAGATCTGGGGTGGGCAAAATGGCGGCGTTTTAGTTTATAACGGAGGCCTAGGACTTTTAGAGCAAAACGAAATATTTGACAATGCCATGGCGGGAGTTTGGATCAAGACTGACTCGAATCCCACATTGAAAAGAAACAAGATTTTCGATGGACGCGATGGGGGAATTTGTATATTTAATGGAGGAAAAGTAAGTATAAAGTTTTGCCTCTTTTTTTCATCTTTGTTTTTTGAATTTTCCCGTTAATTGTTTTATTGGGAAAATGTGAGCTTTGGGTAATTGTGTTTTTACCGAAGTATTCTGAATTCTGGATAGTTTATCTACCAAAAGGGCATATAAGTTCAAATTTAGCCAAAAAAAGGTTTCATTTGCAACAAGCTTAAATGCAACGTTAAATTTAAAAAAATTCGGTCCTGTAAATCTATTTCTTATGTAATGTGGTTGTCATATTAAGGATGTGTTGGCTCATTATTCCTGTAAAAAGAAAATCAATCGCCCTAAAGACAAAACAAATAAGCCACAGGCCTTTATAATTTTCAATCTAATTAATTGATTGTTTCTTCCAGGGTATTCTAGAAGAAAACGATATATTCCGTAACGCGCAGGCGGGCGTATTAATATCGACACAATCGCACCCGATCCTGCGACGCAATCGCATCTTCGACGGCCTCGCAGCCGGAGTAGAAATCACCAACAACGCCACCGCAACGTTGGAGTTCAATCAAATCTTCAATAATAGATTTGGCGGTTTGTGTTTGGCCAGCGGCGTACAACCCATCGTCAGAGGCAACAAAATATTCAACAATCAAGACGCTGTCGAAAAGGCCGTGTCCAATGGACAGTGTCTTTATAAAATTTCATCGTATACGTCGTTTCCTATGCACGATTTCTATAGATGTCAGACCTGTAATACTACTGACCGTAATGCTATCTGTGTTAATTGCATAAAAACTTGCCATGCTGGCCATGAAGTTGAGTTTATACGACATGACAGGTGAGAATTATGTTTTTTATTTATTTTTTTACAGTATCTATACATAAAAATGGTCTATATCTCACCAACTTGTTCATTACAAGAAAGGGCGTATTTCTATTCATATCTTGAGAGTTTGGAGTTTATCTGCGAAAACAATTTGTAATTGGGGACTAGAATGTGGCAAGACTGAATGACTTATGCCATTGTGTGGTTCTAATGACCAAAATATAGAAACTTTGATCAATTTTATACAATTTTAAATAAATAAATAAATGGTATAATAACAGTAAATACAATAAAATAAAATTTCTAACAATATCGCAGTCTCAATTTTTCTGTTAATTCCATACATATTATCACAGAAAAAGTCAATGTCACACTCTTTATCTAATTTGTTGGCCTCTATACAAAATCTTGTCAATGCAGACGACACTCCATAATTTGTTCGGTGAAATGGTATATGGAACAGATCGAACTCCCGCAGCACTCTTTGTGGAACATGCAGTGATATTTTGTGTAGAAGGTTAGGGCAGTCAATCTGGGAATTAAGAATTTTGAAAAGTGTGCAGATATCTATGAGTATTCTCCGGTTTTCTAGACTTGGCAAATTTAATGTTTTCATCAATTCCTCATATATTACCTCTTCCATCGAAATTCTCAATTTAAAACCCACAAGCCTTAAGATTTTTTTCTGTATGCGTTTGATTTGTTCAACATAGGTTTTGTAATATAGAGCCCATACCGGGCAAGCATATTCTAGTATGGATCTTACATAGGCGAGGTACGAAGTTTTCATACAATTTCTGTTATTAGAATCAAGTAACGTTTTTTTGATGAATCCTATCATCTTTAACGCCCTGGTTGTTGCATTACCTTACATTTAGATATATGCACAGTCCTACCATTCAACCTATACCAATCATTCAGTCCATTTAAATTCTGTTACAATTTAGAACAATCATCCACTGACTGAATGGTCCTATAGATTTTGAAGTCATGTGCATATAACAAAAATTTCGAGTGTGTGATAAAATTAACCACATCATTGTTAAATATATTGAAAAGCAGTGGAGATATGTAGAGTAAGATTCAAACGAGAAGCCATTGACGTCGGCGCTGACAAAGAAGGCAGATTTCCTTTTCTCTGGGTCCCTTTCATTTAAAGTGAGACAAACGATAACGCGTGTGGCTTCTTCTCGATTGATTTTTACTCTAGGAGCCCTGCGGAACACCAGACAACCTCTCTTGAAGTAAAACCTTTAATCTTTACAATTTGCCTACGATTCGACAGATAACTTTTGAGCCACACCAACAGATATCCTTAAATTCCATATTTTTCCAATTTCTCCAGTAATAAGTTACGATTGACTTTATCGAAAGCTTTAGAAAGGTCTGTGTAAATTGCATCAATTTGATGCATGTTTTCTAGAGAAGTTTTCAAATCATTTTGGTTCACTAATAAATTGGTATGTAGATTTTCCTTTTCTACAGCCATGCTGGTATTCAGTTAATATATCTTGAAATTGAGGTTTGATTTTACAATCCATGATTGATTCAAAATTTTTGGCAATTACCGAGTTTTTTGAAATAGCTCAGTAGTTTGTGATCTCAGATCGGTTACTTTTTTTGAAGATCGGCGTCACATAATATGATACCTTCCACAGGTCTGGAAATTCACTTTTGGCGACAGAAAACTTGAAAAGAATATGGGACAGTATATAGTGGCAGTTTTTTAAAAACATTACAGGGATCTTATCTGGACCTGGCGTTAAATGATAACTTAATCTAACTATAGCGTTGTATATATCAATTTCATCAATATCACACTCCTCAATCTTTACACTTTTACAATCATTAATATCATAGGCACGACAAGGTTCCTTGCTGTAGACAGTTGAAAAATAATCAGAAAAATTGTTTGATATTATAGTACCATCATCAAAAGAATCAGGGTTGTAAGACATTAAATTTGGCAATTCAGAGTTATTACTTTTTGTATTAACATATTTCCAAAACTGCTTTGTATCACTATTTATGGACTTTTGAATGTTCTCAATGTATATTTCATAGCATGTCCTAGATAAGGTCTTGCATTCTTGTCGTAGATTTGAAGAAAATTTTATAGTTTCTCTGTGTTTTGGATTCCTTAAACTCTTTATGAGCAATCTTTTTTCTGGAAATTTGTTCTTTAAGTTCATTATCATACCATGGTGATAAAAGTTTGGGTTTTTTTGATCGTTTCAAGGAAACATAAAAGTCGAAAGCAGTATAAACAGTACTGTAAAAAGTGTCAATGTTTTCCCCTAGAATATTTAGAATTTAATAATTTCTCCTAGTCGTACAAGCCTAAGAATTCTTTAATGGCGCCAAAATCTGCATTCTTGAAATCGAAATACTCATAATCAAAGTTTAAGGTCTCCTCACAGCCTCGAGCGAAGCTAAATTCAAATGACAATACTGGGTGATATTTATCTATCAGAAGTCTCGGTTGTTCTACTAAAGCTATGTCAATTTTAACATTGCTGAGGATCAGATCGAGGTAACCTTCGTTTACATTAGGAACATCATTAAGCTGGAATAAATTAAGATAGGCACAATAATCCGACAGGACTTAACTCTGTGAACTAACATTACCAACATTAGCCACATTACCTTAAATATAAAAATTGGGGTACCCCAAGGAACTTTCTTGGGACCTATTTTATTCATTGCATACATAAATTCTCTGGCAGGCATGAATATAAATAATGGCTCAATTATATCCTATGCTGATGACACAGCTGTGGTTTTCTCGGACACAACTTTTGGGAGCTGACAAGAGAGGCTTGCGTCTCAGGTATCAATAGAATAAAAAAGTGGCTAGATTCTTTCAAATTAACCCTTAACTTATCTAAAACAATCTATATAGCATTTTCCCTTACAGAAAAAAATCGTCCAGATTTTGATCAAATATATATAGATGGACTAGATGATAGTATCAACTCAGTGGATTATACTACATACTTAGGAATTGTTATTGACAAAAATCTAAAATGGGACAAGCATGTACTGAAATTAACAAAAAACTTACGCAAACTTATACACAAGTTTTATATACTTAGAGAAATTTTGAACAAAAAGCTTTTATTAACAATATACAAAAGTTTAATAGAATCACTTTTGAGATATGGAGTTGTGGTGTGGGGTGGCTTATACCATAATTCATTAAGCCAGTTGTGTGTGGTCCAGAATTATATACTTAAAGTCATAAATAATGTAAAAAGCAGATATTCAACAAGTCTACTATACGGGTGGTCCTTCGGGAATGACATCGATTGCTTATGGGAAAACTGTGAAAGGTAAAAATTTGAAAATTTGGCAACATAGCAATGTCGATGGGGGACATCTAGGTAAAATATTTTCAAGATGGCGGCATTTCCGGTCATACCGGAAGTTGATACCAACTCGGTTATTTTAAATAGAACACTCCGTATATAAATGTATTTTTGGATTCTACATAAAAGTCTGAGCAGATTTCATGTAATATACCCTATACCTAAGTTCAACTGTTTTGGAAATATTGACAGTTGAAAATTGACTTTTTGCAACTTTGACAGGCTGTAAAACCTGAACAGTTAATTTTAGAGGAAACCCGATTTGACATTCCTATCTTAGATTTTTATAAACTATCATTTGACATCAACTTTGAATTAAATCCATGATTAAAAATTTCAGTTAAATTTAATCTCCGTTTAAGTTCAAAGTTGGTGTCAAATGATAGTTTATCAAAATCTAAGATAGGAATGTGAAATCGGTTTTCCTCTAAAATTAACCAATTAGGTTTTACAGCTTGTCAAAGTTGCAAAAAGTCAATTTTCAACTGTCAATATTTCCAAAACAGTTGAACTTAGGTATAGGGTATATTACATGAAATCTGCTCAGAATTTTATGTAGAATCCAAAAATACATTAATATATGGGGTGTTCTATTTAAAATAACCGAGTTGGTATCAATTTCCGGTATGACCGGAAATGCCGCCATCTTGAAAATATTTTACCTAGATGTCCCCCATCGACATTGCTATGTTGCCAAATTTTCAAATTTTTACCTTTCACAGTTTTCCCATAAGCAATCGATGTCATTCCCGGAGGACCACCCGGTATAATGAAGATATCCTAAATATGAGAAGTTTGTATTTTCTAAGTATGTGTTCTTTTATGCACAAATCAAAGTGTAAGAAATTTGTAGATCATTCTCACAATACTAGGTCAATTTCTGTCGGGCATCTGAAGGAAAGGAAGGAAATACATCTAAAAACCAACGATCATATGACTTTTTGGCTCCCAAATTGTACAATACTTTGCCACAAGTGACCAGGTCAATATCTAATTTAAAAAAATTTAATAAGGCATGTCGTACTTAGATTTATGATAATTTGTATAAATTTATGTTGCTAGTTTAATCTGGTAGGTGTAGGAACCAAATATATCAACTTTTTTCTTTTATTTTTCTTTCTTTTTTCATGTGTGTGTTTTACTTTTTGTCTTAAAATTTATATATTTTTTTATTTTTTTCTTTTGCACATACAGGTGTTCAGTCACCTAGGTGCGGGCGATTATTTAAAAGACTATTGAGGGAAAAATTATATTTTGTTATTATGTATATCAGATTTGTTGTTGAATTACATCTGGTATATTGAATCCCCTGATAAAATATCACTTTGAAAGTTGTGATCATCAATAACATTTTCCACAGCCCTACAATAGTTTTCTTAGAGCTCCACGGTGGATCGTAGAGGTAGATAGCACTAATCAGAGTTTTCGAAACACCCTTTGACAGTGTTAAAAATAGACATTCTATATCTGGAGGATTTGTAATTTGTTCAACTGACATACCTGGTTTCACTGTAATCATTACGCCACCTCCTCTGCAACACTAACTAGTTCTTTGGTTTCTATCACATCGAAATATGGCGTAGTCTTTTAGACCGAGTTCACTATCCAAAATGTTCTCATTCAGCCATGTCTCTGTGAACACAA